GAGTAAAGCCTGTTTGTCAAGCTGCTAAAAACATTGGGCCAAATGATTAGGTATAGGTGCAGAAGGATGTAGGGGGACATTTCTGACCATGTGGCTACTTGTTTAGTACTATGGATGTTATTGGTGGTGACAGTTTCCCTTTATGAGACAGGTAGAAGTCAGAATTTGCCTTCCTCATGATACCACTGCTCCTTTTACAAACTACTACAGTTAGAAAACCAAAACAAAGGAAGGAGCAGCTGGACATGTCTCAAGCTTAAACAACTGTAAGGGGAAAAAATGAAGCCTTGAGTTGCAACACTCAAGGATTCTATGGACGAAATATTGAACGATGCAAGAAGCATCAGTGAAGATGGAAATAATACACAGAATTGTACAAAAAGAATTGGTTTGCGTTGAAGCATTTCAGGAAGTAGCATATAATTAAGAACCAATGGTAATGAGGAAAGAAGTTCAAGCTTCACTGAAGGCATTGGTAAAAATAAGGCCCCAGAAATTAATGGAATATCAATTGAGGTCTTTAAGCAGATACAGCACTGAACACACCAAGAAATTTGGAGGACAGCTACCATACTGAAGAGTATTTGTTCCTATTCCCAAAAGAAGTAATCAACAGAGTGTGGACATTATTGAATACTATTATTAATTGCACATGCAAGTAAAAATTTGTTGAAGATCATTAAAAAAATGCGAGAACTGCCAGTAATTCTAGCTGGATTCAGAAGAGGCTATGAAATAAGTAATATTGCTAATGTTAGATGGATCTAGGCTGAAAGTAGAAAATACCAAAAAGATGTTTATCTGTGCTTTGTTAACTATGCAAAGGCATTTGACTGTGTAGATCATAACAAATTATGATAAAATTGAGAATAGATCTCTCAGAATGCTTAATTGTGCTCATCTTAAAACCTATATGTATACTAGGAAATAGTTGTCTGAATATAACAAGGGACCAATGTATGGTTCAAAATCAGGAAAGATGTGGTCAGGATTGTATCATTTCTTCATACCTATTCAATCTTTCTGATAAACAAATCACTTGAGAAGCTGGACAATATGAAGAGGAATGCGTCATCAGGATTGGAGGAAGACTCATCAATAACCTGTGTTGTACAGATAGCACAACCTTACTTGAAGAAAATGAAGACTTGAAGTACTTACCACAGTAAATTGAAGACTTCAGCCTTAATATGATTGTACCTGAACATCAATATAACAAAAATCCTTAGCAGGATACCAATAGGAAGCAATGATCGATGGGGAAAACTTTTAATTTGTCGACATTTTTTTCCCACTTCAATCTACTAACTACCAGGGGTAAAAACAGTAAAGAAATTATATATATAGTTTTCAAGAAATCTTCTATGAAGGAATTCTCCAAAATGCTAAAGTATATCAGTTTAAAGACTAAGATGAGCCTAATCTAAGCCATAGTCTTTTCATGACCTTTTTTCCTATGCATCTGAAAGTTGGGCAATGAATAAGAATGACAGAAGAAAAATTAATACATTTGAGTTGCCATGTTGGAGAAAAGTATTGGATACTTCATGGACTGCCAACAGAAGAAACAGGCCTGTCTTAAAGGAAGAACTCCAGAGAATTCCTTAGAGCCAAATATGGAGAAACATTGTCTAGTATGATTTATCCATGTCATCAGAAAAAACCAGTCCTTGGAAAATGATATAATGTTTGGAAACATGGAAGGTCAAAAAAGAGAGGAAGATTCCCCAAAAGGGCAGGAGTCTGTAGGTGAACCATACATATTAGAGATTGTAAAGATGTTGCAGGATAGAGCAAGGTTCAGATCTATTATTCATGGGTGACTTGATGGCACTTAACAACAAAAATTGTTATTTAATCTATTACTATACTTTCCCCTTCAATATTACTGGTTCTTGTTCAATAAAATGTATAAAATTGAGATAAATGATAATGTCAGAATAATTAGTTATGTTCATGCAAAACATATGCATAGACAAAAAAGTTCTCTGGACACAAGGAAACACTGGGTGATTGAAATCTTTCGTGATTTTCAAGAAAGATTTCAAATCACGCATATAGTATCATTTCTCTGTACTTATTCAATCTGTATGCTCAGCAAATCCTTTGGAAGCTGAACTATATAATTAATGCCACATTAGGATTGAAGCCGGACTCATAAACAACTTATGCATATTACACAACTTTTCTTGCTAAAAAATGAAGAAGGCTTAAAGAACTTACTGAAGAAGAATAAAGACTTCAGACTTCAATATGAATTACATCTCAACATTAAGAAGCCAAAAAATCTTCAGTAGTAGAACAATAAACAACATTATATTACATAGAAAAAAAAGATTGACATTATCATTTATTTAATTTGATTTTGATCCATAATCACCACAAATGGTAGCAGCAATCAACAAATCAAAAGATACGTTGCTTTGGGAAAATTATCTGTGAAGGACCTCTTTAAAGTCTTAAAGATCAAGGATGTCAGTTTAAAGCCTAAACTGTGCCTGATCCAAGGCATGATATTTTCAATTGTTCCCTGTGTATGTGAAAGTTAGACAATAGACAAGGATGATAGAAGAAAAAAATGATGCCATACAATAGTGGCATTGGACAATAATGGAATATCCTATAGGCTGCCAAGCAAACATATAAGTCTGAGAGGAAGTTCAATTGAAGTGCTTGTTAGAAGTAAAGAGGATGAAACTTCACCTCATATATTTTGGGCATATTTTTCAGGAGGCGTAAGGCCTTGGAAAAAGACATCATGCTGTTTAAGGTAGAAGGCCAAAGAAAGAGGGAAAGACTTTCAATGACATGGACTGACACATGACTACCATAAAGGTTTTCAGCATGACAGAGATTGTGAAAGTGATGCAGAAAAGGGAAAGGTTCAGTTCTATTTCTCATAGGTTTTCTATGACTCATTGTTGTCTCAAGGCCACCTAACAATAATATTTATGTATTTACACATGTATCCATACATATACTAATTGTTGTTATATCACATTGAGTTGGAACGTACTCAAAGATGACCTTCCAGCAGGTTTTTAGAGGCTTTCCATCATATAGGAGAAAATTGCCACTCTTTTCCCCAGGGAGCAATTGTTGGATTTCAATTATATGCCTGTGGAATGGCAGTGTAATTATTTAACCACTAGAAAACCAGATTTTTTTTCAGGAGGCAGTTGTAGTAACAAAGCAAGGAAACACTGCCTGGTTCAAAATTAGAAAGGGCATGTTTCAGGGATGCATCCTGTTTGAATAATTTTTCAATCTGTATGCAAAACAGATCATTCAGGAGGTTTGAGTTTATGAGGAGGAATATGGCATCAGGTTTGGAGGAAGACTCATCAATGACCTGCATTGCATAGATTGTACAATCTTGCTTGCCAAAACTGAGGAGGACCTGAAGTGTTTGCTGCAGAAGGTCAAGGACTGTAGTCTTCAATATGGATTGAAGCTTAACATCAAGAAGACAACAATTCTCACCACTAGGCCAACTGGTAGCACCATGAAAATTGGCAAAGAGATTCAGATTGCTAACAATTTCAGTTTGCTTGGCTCAATGATCAACACTCTTGGCATTAACAGTCAAGAAATCGAAAGATGAATTGCATTGGAAAAGTCAGCTGTCAGGGACAAATCTGAAGTGATAAAGAGCAATGATGTCAGTCTAGAGACTAAAGTGTGCCTGATCCAGGCCACGGTCTTTGCAATTACATGTTATGCATCAGAGAGCTGGACAATGACTAAGGATTACAGAAGAAGAATTGATGTCTTTGAGTTGTGGTGCTGCATAAGAGTATTGAACATACCATGGACTATCAGAAGAACAAATAAATCTGTCTTGGAGAAAGTTAAACCAATTTTCTCTTTGGAGGCAAGGATTTTGAAGCTCTGTCTCACATACTTTGGGTGCATTGCCAGGAGGGACCAGTCCTTGGAGAAGGATATCATGCTTGGAGGGGTGGAGAGACAGTGAAGGAGAGGAAAACTCTGGATGAGGTGGATTGTCT